CACCTGCTTTTAAATGAACAATGGTCGACCGTCCCAAGTCCTCTTCAGGCCCAACTTTGCTTAGCCTCTCAGATTCCCGGTGATGTTATCATGATTAGTTCTATAAATAAGCAGTAGCTGTGATATCCCACTTTGTAATTGTGTAATCTGTAAATAGAGTGCGCTATAAATTCATAACTCACTGTACACGAGCGAGTCTTTGTAAACGGTTCGTGTTGAACACGCGCGTTTGGTTTAATATTTCAGCCGGAGCTGTCCGGGGCTGAGTTCCGGATAATAAATTCATTGGACCTACGCTGCGGGGGGTGAGTGGAGGGGGGCCGGAAAATATTCCATGAGAATTTTAAGCTCTGCTCACAAGCTCTCGTACGCTGTGCAAATAGAGCACGCTCGACTTTCATGAGACGCAGTGGCAGCACAATGGATATGGCTATCGGTGTCGTTCTCGAGATGCTCTCAAACGTGATGGAGCCGCCCTATCGGTGTGCTCGCTGTGAAATATCAACTTCACACTCTGCGATTCTCTCATTCGCAGGGCAGCAGCTGCGTGGAACGTGCTCGATGTTACAAGGCGCTCGCGAGTCTGCGGCAAAGGAGCGGGCCAATGACGCACGTGGGGTCGCGGACCCCAATTCACTGCTGGGGGTGGAGGAGGAGGTGTGGGCTGTCGCGTATAGAAGAGTTAGCGGCGCAGCCCTGCAATGCATTCGCAGAACCTCCAGCCAGAGACAGCTCTACAGAAGCCCTCTGGAGGATATTTTGTCTACGCTGGCCAGACGTCATGGGCTGTCAGATATGATATCCTTGATATCAAAATAGAAATAAGGCATCGTACAGTTCATGATTCAAATGACAACGAATTACTTGGTGTGACTGCGCTGGCAGTCGTGCACAAGTATAAATAACAAAAAACTCAACACCGTCAAAAATACTGCGGGCTTGAAAGGAGAAATATAATCTTATTACGACGATCAGCCGAATGTGTGGGGATGGAGTGTAAATTCGTAAATTCCATATTCCTTTCGTCTACAAATAAGAGCATTTACTGAGCAAATCAATATGCTAATGTAACGTCATGTTAGTCGGGTAGGAAAGCAACGCAGAACGCACGAGAACATCAACATGAGCGCGACGGCACAAAAGAGGCTAAATGGATTCTAAACTCGAAGTGTCCTGAACCCGGGCAATTTCATTGAACTCCCCGGGTCGCAGGGCCACAATCCGACGGTGGTCGGCCGACAATGACCCGGCGACAAAGTGTACAAAATGCCACAAACACCTCTCGAAAAATATGAATTCATTCAAATTGACTTCCACGCAGCAATCGTGTCACGGTGTCAGGGTGATCCATCGGCTGTGTGCGCGGAGTTAGTTACCAACAACAGGAGGAATTATATATTATTGGTTCTTTCGGTAAAGTCACGTAGAAGGGAAACCATAAACTAATAAAAATATAAAACAACAGGAGAAAAGCTGAGGGCAACAAGTGACCCTGCAGTGCTGTAGAGTACCTTTCCGGATAAGTCGCGAAAACCCCTTCCTCGTGTGTCCGTGCTCGGCTCGGGCGCTCACTGCGCTGTCAACTCGGTAGTTTGCAGATACCACTCAAATCTGACGAATGTAACCACTCCAAAAAACAGGTCTTCCAAACTCCGTGCGGATGGCGCAGCCCTTGGGAACCAAACCGAGGACGGTAAAGCAAATCAGGGAAATCTGAAAGGCGAAAGCGAGAGAAACCCCCCCTATCCCCGCAATGAAGGAGCTGTAAGAGTGGATGGGTGCCGTGCCCCGCAGCCCGGAGTCACTGGACGCGCGCGAGGACCGAGGGTGCCGAGTCAGCTCGCACGCCCGCCCGCCCCCAAGACCCCGCCTCTCTTGTCGTCCACATGTCTCTTGACAAATTTAGCCACTTCTCCCAGATACACGCGTGCACGCCAACCAGCAAGGCCTACGCACCACTGTGAAGATCCCTCCACCCCCCCCCCCCCCCCATTACACTTTGTAACACAATTTTTGTTCCTGGGTAGTGTTCTTTCGTAATTACTTGTGTCTAAAAAGTATAGAAAATGGCTATTAGTCCCCACAAACTTTGCTTTTGTGACCAGGACAGTGATATTTTGAAATTTACCTATTTTCAATGAGAAAACGAGCGAATGTGTCTTTTCGTTCACATAAAGTCAGAAAAAACATACGAATCAAAATTAACATTAATTTATACTAAAGTAATACAAAAATGACTTCAAAAGATTTATGAGTAGTTTTTTCTAGATTTATTATTATACTGTAAATCACTTTCACGAATCAGCCCCAAATGTGGTCTCCCATCATGTTCTCGTTATACTGTCCTTGGTAGCGGCGTTCAAAGTCTCAGTATATCCTGGTGGAAGCGCTCGCCCTGCTCCTCCGAGTACGCTCCCATGTTCTCCTTGACTTTAGTACGCTCCCATGTTCTCCTTGAATTTATCAAGATGAGCATCAAGGATATGGACTTTGAGGGACATCCTACAGCCCATTGTGCCGTAGTTCTTCACCAGTGTCAACCAGCTCCACGTAGTTTTCGACCTTGTGGTTGCCCAGGAAGCCACGAACCACTGCGACAAAGCTGTTCCAAGCCGCTTTCTCCTTACTAGTGAGCTTCTTGGGAAATTCATTGCATTCCAGGATCTTCTTTATCTGTGGTCCGACGAAAACACCGGCTTTGACCTTTGCCTCAGACAGCTTAGGGAAGTCTTGAAGGTACTTGAAGGCTGCCGACTCCTTATCTACAGCTCTGACAAATTGTTTCATAAGGCCCAAATCGATGTGCGGTGGCATCAGCACCTTCCGGGGGTCCACCAATGGCTCCCACTTGACGTTATTCCTCCCCAGAGAATTCGGTCCGCTGTGGCCATTTTCACCTGTGGTAGTGCGCTTTGGTGTCTAAATCTTTTGTAGTCCTTTTTGTATTACTTTAGTATAAATACATGTACATTTTGATTGTTTTTTTTCTGACTTTGTGAACGAAAAGACACAAATTCGCCCGTTTTCTCATTGAATAAAGGTAAATTTCAAAATATCACTATCCTGGTCACAAAAGCAAAGTTTGTGGGAATAGCTATTTTCTGTACTTTTGAGGTATAAGCAATTAGGAAATTACACTAACCCAGAAACAAAAAAGATTGTTAGTGTTATTAGAGAGCGGTGGTGCAGCTCGAGATTCCCCGTGGGAATTGGGCAACACTCGCAAAGCCGCCAGGGCAATCGATGCCTTGGCCATTTCCTGTTATATGTAGTCAGTTTGAACGTGGCGATAACAAGTCAAAAAGTTACATACCAAATATCGCTGGTAAACAGGAAACACGAGTGATGTAATTAGAAAGGCATTGCGCAAGATTTTAAAAAAAGTATTTAAAAGTAGGATCCACATAATGTATCGCGTATTGGAACAAGCGTCTATTTCATTTGTAATTGTCCGGCCAACCGGCACGCTCTGGACCCCCAAAAATGCTAAAACTAAAAAGGTGATCTTCCCAAGAAATTATGCAAAAAGTCTGCAAATATACATGACATTGCTTTGTAAGTGGATGTCCTGAAACAGCTATGGCTGCAAAGTGTGGTCATACATGTTATGTATATCGTTTGTTAAATTAGAATCACAGTTCCTATGATCACTGTTACATTGTTTTTATAGCTTTATTTTGATTTCTAAAACGTTTTGGTTTAGCCATGTTTGTTGTAGTAGACTGATAGCTTTAATATAAATTGTCTTATGGTTAGTTTGATTTGCATCCAACTGGGATTTCTGCACAGCGTTGATATACGCTTTTTCATTGATTTTCGTTACGCGTAATCACTTTAAGATGTTCCTTGTTCAAGTTTTGTTTGTTGCGGTTACACCCGAGTCATGAGCCGAATGGCTCAGGGCTATACCTAATAAATGAACTGAATAAAGTTTTTTAGGTATAGGTCGCATCCACTCCCTTACACCGAGGATCAAGTTGGCATAATTACATGACGAGACGTTGTGGTTGTATGGCTGTGATTAGAATGTACATGGTTATATTGCTGATTGTATTGTAATGGTTGTAGTTAATACCAAAATGGTTACTTGCCTGTTATGGTTATAAAATACCGTAGTTTCAGTTGTGGATGTGCCCATTCTGGTTATCGTTATACTTGTGATTATGCAGTTGTGGAATGTTTTATTGCTTTTAGGGTTAGTTATTAAACTATGGTTACATTGTGATCATAGTTGTGATTAGTGGCTACAACTTGTAAACAAATATTTACATACGTGATATTAACGTATGGTGTCATATTAGTGTTGGGAAACAGGAACCTCATTATTGTCAAGTCAAATCGTTGGGTGTTATAGTCGATTTTTGTTTATCACGGTGACTGAAAGTAGGCCAGCGAGTACCACTGGGAAATGAGTAGCAAGAAATACCTTGCGAATCACTTGTTACAACTCATGCAAATCCGCAGGCAATGCTAGCTTATTGCACAAAAGTAAAAAAAAACTCATTTCACAACGGTGATTTTATTCAGTAACTCAACATTTTGGGGGGGATTTTTTTCAACATCAATTAACAAAGCAATACAGAAACATTTAAACACATACATTTAACAATGTGGCATTATAGTTCCGGGAAGGCATACATGCTCACCTTAAAATGGTACTAAATTTGTTCCGTGTAAATAACGAGCCTTAAAAAACACAATCCTGCGGAGGGAGCTGGTAAGAACGTTGGGTTGCTCGGTCAATGGCCAGGGTGAACGGCGGCATGGTGTATTCCGCAAATATGCCCGACTGTGAGGGTGGGCACAAGCCGGCGTGAGTAGGTTAAACGTTGAGTTTTATAAGGGCACCACGGGGTGACCAGCCCCTCCCCACCCCCCACCCAGCCCCACCTTCCCCTTCCCACCCAGCCCCACCCTCCCCTCCCAGCCCCTCCCTCCCCACCGAGCCCCACCCCTCCCATTTTTGGATGCACTACGGACAGACACTATAATCCCCTGTGGGCTGGTGTAACCAGGTTCCTACCAGTAAAAAATTACCCCTCTTTTCAGCACATGGAAGGCCCAGAGGTCGTGGAAATAAGTCCTGATTAACAATGTTCGCACAATCCACTGAGTGAATTCCTGACCTCGTTTCAACCGCATTAGAACTTGAAAAATGCACTTAAGTGATCATTTCCTGGCCTTAATTATCATTTCAATTAATAGTTAGAATACACTTCCTTATACATGACTGCTCCCATTTAAAGATTGGAGCTTTCAAAGGAATGTAGGGATCAAAGAAACCTGCATATTTAACTATGGAAAAACTGTTGATACGTCCCAACTTTAACTCTTATCAGGCTCCAAGGTATACAAGGCAGTCTCTCCCATCCATTGTGCTGTAAGGGCCATTGCCCGAAACATCCCTATTATATACTATAAGTTATTGACGTTTTGATATTTGTGCACTAACAGAATGCAGTATAACCAAATATTTTTTGTGCAGTAATTTTCACGCACATTTAAAAATAAATTCACAAGTACATGTAATATGGGCTTTGATAAAACTATACTCCAAGCATATAACCATGCTTTTAACTCATTCCCAAATATTTAATGCAGTGTCTGCTTTTGAACTTCGAACATAATTATACGAAAAAAATTCTGAAACCATCCTTCAACTCCATCAATGAAGTGTAAGTGCATACGATAATTTCTAGAGATTATCATAATTATGATTACATCTGTCGATTTCGATGAAAAATAGTTACAGTATGGAACTGAGTGTAGTCATGAACACATTTGTTTACTTATGTTGTAACACACTTCATTTTAATTCGTGAGCATTTAAATCTCTACATAATTATAAACCTAAAATTATTTACGCACATGTGGGTATGCAATTAAAGACTGGCAGTGGTATCAGATGAGTCGTGTTAGGTGAATGTTAAGAATGACCAACAGAGGAGGGATGGAGTCAGTGGCACAGAAACCATTCAGGGGAGAATAGTTAAGTGGACTGAGCCGATAGAAGATAACCCAGCAGTCTGTAGAACATCCTTGTCCTAGTCCAAGAACAGCCCAACACATGATGCGGCCCACAACCTGATTTCAAAATTATACAATGGACAGGTGTTATTGGGATGGGGAACGTGAGGTAAGCCTTCACATTTAAACACAATTCATATTGTGGTGACTAGTTGAGTGGTGAATGGTTGAAGGTCAGTTGGAGTATCGTTAAGGTTTATATACGAGGCACGTGTTGTTTTTTGAAGCAAGGTGTCACAATAAGGTAAGGTAGGGCAGCAATTCCATAATCCCTTCCTCCCAAGTATGCAATTATAAGTGACACTTAGAGCAGAGTTATCTGCAAAACACACCAGAGGGATGTGCGTAATTTCCTTATAGACATGAACAGCTGCATCACGGATTCAACCAGAGTCTGCACACCTGCAAAGAACACATTCCCGAGTCATGCTTGCATATTTAATTGAATGCATTATTATGTAATAGTGTAATACAGTGCATGCATGAAACATCGATATAAAGGACTCAAAAAACATGTTTTTACACGCAATATTGAGCTGCTTTAGCTTATAAAAAAATATATCAGTACCCATATGCTGTTAAGCACTTTTAAACTGAAAACTACTTTTTTAGAACTAATTTGTGTTTAGTTTGTCCTTCCCCCGCACCTCCGAGGACGGTTGTCTACATACAATGTGAAAGCAGTTCAACATACATGTAATAAAACAAATCTCTGCCTACCTTCACCAAATATACCGCTGGCCTCCTCTTGCCGCCGAAGCTTGACCAAGCCAACAGCCTTCAAGTGATTGGCAATATCTAGGATGATGACGTCCGGCACTGAAACACCACACAGGCTCTTCATCTTCCCAAAAAGGGTTTTCAACTGAGGATCAAAACACAATAAGTCATATTCTGATCTACAATTTTATTAACATGGAAAAATAAGTAACAAAACACAATTTAATATTAACATATTCAATATGCTCCATGTTTGAAAATACACAATTTAAAACGAGGTAATATAACATTCAAAAAGGATTTTGATTTAAAGCTTTCGTGACTGCAGGTATTCATATTCTTGGTTCTTTCGGTAAAGTCACGTAGAAGGGAAACAATAAAATAATACAAATATAAAATAATAAAATTATCACGTTTCAACTGCAGCACAAGCAATCATCATCAGGTGTGACTTTAGCGAAATAACCAAGAATATTCAAAAAGGATGTTATCTAAATCTCATCAATGTTGTAAAACTTTATGCCAGCAGCAGTGAACTTCATCTTTGAGCAAAGTGTTAGGAGCCGACCAGAATGAGTATGAAATGTTAAAAGTTGTAACTGTTGCTTTATTCTGGGCTGCTTGAAATGGGGTGGCCATAAACTTGTATACAACCTGAATATCGTTCGGTGCCTGGGGGTTAGTGCAATCATTCACGAATAGTTTACAGCTCTCCCTCATTGCGGTGTAGTTGATTTTAAAAATCTAGGCATACACATAAAACCACGTCGAATATTTAAAATGTTTTGCATATTATACATTACAAAATAAGTTAGTCATATTCTTTAGTATTTTGTCTTATATATAAAGAAATCAGTCTTTATTCGCACGAATTAGCACATGTCACAATATGAAATAAGACAAGGTGTGATGTAAAAAAATGTCCCTCACTCTTATATTCTCTCTCATTTGATACAAAATCAGGTTATCGATGTGTGTATGATTGGCATCCAACACAGGACTGCTGCTTTCAACACTGGAAACATGCAAACCCGAGTATTTTTTCAATAGCTTGGATTCAACCTGTGAATAAAAACAATTTGCATAACAGCTGTTAAGAATTAAAGAAACAATATTACAAAATAAAAACTGTGGAACTAAAGTCCCTTATAAGTGTGTTAAAACGTATACATTTTGAAAACAATGATTTGTAAAAAATGTATTACCATATTAATTTCGCTTGTCAGAGCTCTTGCGTTCACGAAACACTTTTCTAGGCTGATGCACAGCTCATTGCTTGGTCCATCAAAACTTTGTTGCAACATCCAACAAGCATTTTGCCCTTGAAGAGAATGAGCCTGTTTAGCTCGAATCATTTCATATGTGTCATGTTGACAAAAAATATTTTGTTCAGGAAGGAATGAACCAAGTGGTAGAGAATTCCCCCTGATTTGAGATGATATATTTTCACTAGAATTCCTCTGTTTTAACTCAAGCGAAGGATGCATGTACGATGATGAAGTTGGTTGACTATTGAAGTCTTGCAAGTTTGAAGTGGCACTGTGATAAGGAGGGATTTGTTGACTGTTTGGTTCAGAAGTACATGATACATATTCACTTGAACTCCTCTGTTTTAATTCAAGCGAAGGATACTGGTACGAAGACGAAGTTGGTTGACTATTGAAGTCTTGAAAGTTTGAAGCGTCATTGTGATAAGGAGGGATTTGTTGACTGTTTGGTTCAGAAGTACATGATACATATTCACTTGAACTCCTCTGTTTTAATTCAAGCGAAGGATACAGGTACGAAGACGAAGTTGGTTGACTATTGAAGTCTTGAAAGTTTGAAGCGTCATTGTGATAAGGAGGGATTTGTTGACTGTTTGGTTCAGAAGTATAAGAATTCCGATTCCCATTGCTTGTTTGAAAATACTCAGGTGACGCATTCGGTTTTCTTTTCATGCCACCTAAATCATGATGCTGACTTCTGATAAAGGGAAATGAATGTTCATCTCTTTTATTTGACCAATCAATGTTTGGTTCATTCATCACATTTTCAAAGGCTTGTCCATTTGTACAATGTCCATAAAATAAACCATTCGTGGCAACAAATGGAATTTGTTCCCCAAGCAATGTACGGCTTTCGAGGTCCAATAAATGTTGTTGATGCTCCTTTTTAAGTTCAAGGTTATGACTGCTGTAAGAGATTGGTAGTGTGTCTGATACACGGGTTCCAATAGTAGAGTTTACTGTGTTTGGTATACGATAGCTGCTTAGTGATGTATAGTTTTCTACAGAGCTGAAAGATGACTTTATGTTTTTCTCAAACTTTGTTTTAGGTCTTAAACCCATGGCGGCATGAACTCTGGAATAATTTTTGTCATTAGTGTCCAATCTGTGTTCCCAACTGCCACTGTTATTTGCGGAATGCGAGTACGTGTCAAAATTGCCATTGTTCGCATGCAAATTATTCACCGGAGATTCCACTATCCGTGATTGAAATAATGAACTGTCAGGTGATGGCTCCAGAATTTGATTTGTAAAAATAGTGCCTTCATTCCTTAAAGATAAGAGAAAATTCGACTGGGATCTTACACCTAAATTATTTAACTTCTTCTCACTTGTCTTTTGAGTCATTAAGTTGTCGCAAACTTTCCTTTCAAAAGGATCAACAGTTCCTCTGATATTTAAGGAATTCCGAAGTGTAGTTAAATCATAGGTTTGTGTAGTTCTGTAAAAAATATAAAGCACATATCATAAGTTAAATTATACAAAATTAACCATAATTACTGAATGATCCAAATTAACATTTTATTGCATTTTGTAGAATTAAACATCTAGCACTATTATGGAATACTTTTTCATTAACCTTTATTAATGTTGCCACATTCCACAAGCAATACTTCACTCGTCGCACGTAGCCATGACCAATAAACTATAAATCCTGTGTAGTCCAACAATGCTGTATTTTCCACATACAAATGTATTAATAATAACATTCTGAATATAAACATAACCGTAACCTTATGGAGTATGCGTGTAGCATATCGGACCTGCATGTGGAGGTATCAAGCGATGGTTCTTCGTAGTCATTTACTAAATTGGAGACCATGCCAAACATGTCAGGGCCATCCTCGCCAATGTAAAAGTCACTGGAAGACATCCGCTCGCTGTAAAATGAAACGAGGCATCAATTCGACTTTAAAATCCTAACACATGTTGTGCCCTACATATTTTACATTCACTTGCGGTAAGGAATACACATGGTTTTTAAAAACAATTATGAGCTCGAATGCAGCATGAAAGCAGCTGAAGATGTACAAGACTGACATCATCACCTGTCTGAAGGCGATGGACGTGCGTTGGTTGCACTGGGCTCGTCCGTAACCGATGACCAGCGGTGATACTGCAATGACGGATTCATATTGGGCAGGTCTGAGAAATCGCTCTAAAGAAATCGGGAATTAAAAAACATCTTTTATTATTACAAGGCGAGAGGCCATTTCAATACGTATGTTAACGCAAGGAAGCCACCTACTGTACTGTATTACAATTAACTTGATTTTGTAATCCAAAATAAAGGTTTTTTTGGGATATAACTAAAAAAACCTGTATTGTGGATATTGGTCGCTAAAGCATACATGTTACATTGACTTTGTAATGTTGAGGCAATACCCTTGCTGGTTTTCCTACACGATTTAACGTCACTGCATGTGTTCTACGGTGCCAATATACAGTAGTCTTGTTGTTTTTCTGTGCCGTGCGTCTCCTGCGGTGAATGTCCCGCAAGGGCCGACATCTTCACCAGTCTAAGGGGCCATCCATTGAGTAGGTACGCAAAAAATCTGTCACAACTTGTTGACCGCTCCCCGCCTCCCTGGAGGCACGCCGACTTTTTACACCCCCCCCCCGCCCAACCTGAGTACGGCCGATATTTAATCCACGCAGAAACGATCAAGAATTAATAATATGAACGTGTTCAAGCAAACAGATAGTCCACCGCCAGACTATCTAATTAATTTGAAGGCCAATGTAGACAAATTATTATCGAGGCTTCACCCCCCCCCACCCCGTTTCCTATACGAACATCGTCAGTAGACCCCCCATACGCAAGCGAACGCGTTTGGGTTCACCCCCCCTCCCCCCTCCACGCGTAGGGACTCAATGGATGGCTCCTAACCAGGGGAAACGCTCTCGGCCGAGTCTCACGACGCATTCGCAAGAGTGTCTTGCAAAGTCTTCGCAATAGGGGGCGATGATTGCCAACGTGGATTCGGAATTTTAAAAATATGAGAATTTTGCAAATCTGCACCGTGACGCGGGAACCCAATGTAGTCTCAAGAACCACAATCCAACAGTGGATTTGGCGCAATGGTTGTACATGTCAATGGGTTCCATAACCTTCATACAATTATACACAGGCGGAGTTTTATACTTATATATTTGGCAGGTGTTCGCTGTCCCTCAAGATTTAGGAATCGTGTGTGCGTATAATTAAACGATTAAAAATTGTGCCCAATTTGGGGGGGGGGGCACTGCCCTCACGCATTTACAGCAAACCCTTAATAGTCGCGGATTTTTTTCTTATAATCGTGTTTATTTAATTTTATATACAGTATTGGCGACCACCCCTAAGACGGGTTTGCGAGCGCGTCAATGTTGCCCGCCACGTGCCCGCTTCTCCCTCTTGAAAGCAAATCGATGCATCGTGTCGCTAAGTTATAAGCGTGCAAAACAAACGCGATCATGTGTAATACAGGGTGTACAAATATACGAAACGGAGATTACGCTGTTTAAAAAGAAAAGACGATAATTATCTCGTACGATGGTGAGAGATGGCGGCGAAGGGAGGCTTGCATCTAGCAGTGGAGCGACCATGGCTGGCTGATAAAATACTTTAATGTGCACTCGCAAACATCGCTCAAAAGGTTTCGACAAACTGCGGGCGATGAAATGTAAATGTTGCAACGACGTTGGTCTTATGCTATAAATATAAATACTATCTGGGTTCGTTGATTTTGCAATTACAAAGAATGGTCCGAGATGGGTCAATCCACTGCTGGATGGAGGCCAATTCCACATCCCTCTAAGACCCAGCGATTGAATACTTTACAAGTGTTGTTACGTTTTAGTTAACCTGTTATAACAATTGGTCTGCCAAATAAAAAACATACGTTTCGTCGTAAAACGAATTAGTAATTGTTTTAAAAAAGTGAGGACGGGGTGGGTTGTAAGGCGACTAATATAAAACTTGAACTCAGATCTTGTCGTTTTAATTACTTTAAATAAACTATTTTTAAAAAAATAGTTACCAGGTAAGGCACACTGCGCTGTATAGATAAAAAAAAATGTATACAAGCTATAATGGTCACAAATGATAGCTCAACGAAGTGGCTTTACCAGGTGGAAACGTCAAGCAGACAATTGCTTTAAACGTGTTGATGATAAATTCGTTGAAATACTGCGTTTAAAATCAAACTTTCCCCCTCGCGTAAGCTGCGTTTATTCAAACAAATTAGTTTTAAATTAGAATTATAAAAACAATTGCACACTCGAGGCGGAATAGCTAGTTTTAGGCTAATAAATGACAAGTAAATGTGAAATTTTTACTTTTCTCCGCCACACGCCACGTCCGCCGCCATTTGACGTTGGTGGTTCGAGAAACGGATGGAAAAGCGTGACTCGTAAAACTTAATTTCATTGTTCACATGGCATTAAATCTCACAAATACGTTTACTATAACGCAATTGGAGTTACGATAAAAAAAATTCTGAAAGAATGCAAAATTAGAAATATCAATGTTTAAGATCATGCATACACGATTATCATAAAACACAGCTTTTTAACATAAATACGTGTTTACATGTGTACTGCTGTGCAAATACTACACTAACTCTATACACAAAAAAGTTTGTTACTTTAAGATACAATTTACCTCAGCGATCCTGAAATTCGAGGCTGCATACCGCTCCATGGCGTCTGCGTTCTGCCGCTAGCGCGCGAAATGAAGAGGAGGGGGCCACCCCGACCCCCCCCCCACAGGGGGCACCACCCCCACCCCACCGGGGCACCCCCCCCACCCCACCGGGGCACCCCCCCCCACCCCACCGGGGCACCCCCCCCACCCCACCGGGGCACCCCCCACCCCACCGGGGCCCCGACCCCCAAGGGGGGAGCCGGAGGGGCGCTCCCCCTGGAGCGGCGCGCACGGAGGGCGTCAAAAGACCCCGCCCGGGTTATAAAAAAACAAAACCCGGCGCGGGTCCATGCCATCTGTGGGGCGCCCCGCGGTGGCGAGACGTCAACTCCGACGTGGGTTCGATCCCTGACCCTGACGGCGCCTGCTGCTGCTGTATATTTGGAGTTGGCGGTGTCTCTCTCTGTCTCTTGTCTTCCCGTGGATTCTTCTCCGGGTCCTCCAAAACACGCGCTTAGAGTGTTTGGTTGCTTTAAGTGCCCACGTGATGATAATCCACTTGGTTGAGCTATCATTTGTGATAGGTTGTTTCTGACAAAGAAGCTAATGGCTCAGTGGGCCTTACCTCGTAAACTAAATAAAAAAAGTTAATTAGTTTGATAATGTCAATAATCGGAAACTACCTTAAATCTTTATTGGCAAACTTAACAAATCTAAGACGACCAAGCTTTTTGTTGCCATTGCAGCAGCACCGACGTTTTGGAGAAGAGGAAAGATGACTTTTACACGCTTTAATTTAACTAACTCTGTTGTTGTTGGCGTTGCTGTATCCTCAAATCTTGTAACTCAATTTTAACCCACTTCCCAATGTGGTATCGACTGCAAATTTTGTATACTTATGTCATACTGATGAAAATACTATATTCTATCATTAAAAATATATATTTTTAAACCTTTTTTTACATGTTATGTTTCGGCTTGGATCTAATTGTCTGACGTTTCCTGTAATTGCCCACGGTCCCTTAAGTTTTTTTTTAAACATTACTTATTTTCTTGGGTCTTTCGGTAAAGTCACGTAGATATGTTCAAAGAAAATAGCAAAAAATCGCAACACAAGCCTTCGTTAGACTGCGTCAGCAGCTTTTCCCCTCCGTGTTCTTCCTCATGAGGACCGCTTGTGTTGCGATTGACACGTCGTCGTTTTTAGTTATTTTTGTGATTTTCTTTGAACCTATCCACGTGACTTTACCGAAAGACCCAAATAATATGAATTCCTGCAATCAGGAAAGCTTTAAGTAAAAAAATAACATTGTTTCCTCAACTGAGTAAGTCTCCCTTTAAAAATATCCTCAAACAGAAGATGTGCCAGATGTAGCCACACATGCCACTGCAAATCGGAGTGCAATATAATCGAGGGACTGTATTGTCTTCGTCTGGTCTTGGATTGATGTTGTCGTGCTGCCTGCCCAAGCTTCCATTTGGTCTTGACAAATGTGCAGGAATGAATGCACTAGTACAATGTTTACTCCTATACTTTCAACTTTTCTCATTATTACTCACGTAACCTTGATAGTATTTTTGTTGCTGTGACCTGCTGACACCGTGCCCCTACAGGACATCTGTTCAAAAGAGCTTTAGAGCTCGTCGGATTCCTCCGATAGCATACAAATGTTGATTATGGATGGTCTCAGGCGCGTAGTGCGGCAGCAGACGGCCGCCAGCCCCCACCCCAGAGCCCTCTCAACTCCGGCGCATGCACAGAGGCACACAGACAAAGTTCCCCCGTGTAGCCTTCACAGACTGCTGGGGCAAGTGCTGCTAGCGAGCAGCACCGATGAAGGCCGGCACGGCACGCGAGGGGTGTGTGGGTGGCCAGCAACACGCCCGCCCGCCGGCCTCTGTCTCCCCAGTGGCGATGTTTACTACACACCGCGCCAGGTAATCATTTGAGTTTAATTCGACCACGGGGAGGCCCAGGATAGGGTTCAGATAATCGTTTTCACTGGTGTTGGCCGTGAGCAGGAATCGAACCCGGATGGCCGGGTTCGTAGCGCAGCGCGATAACCGCTACACCACCGCTCCCCCGCACAGAGGCACAAGACAAGACAAAGTTCCCCCGTGTAGCCTTACCAGACGTTTGGGCCAAGTGCTGTAAGCGAGTAGCACCTATGAAAGCCAGCACGGCTCATGAGGGGGTATGTGGCCAGCACCAGTGGCGATGTTTACACACTGCACCATGTACTAATTTGGGGCTGAGTCGACCTAGGGGAGGCGCAGATAATCGTGATCACAGTATTTAACCGAACATTCATGACTTAAGTATGAAGTTTTTTATCCTAGAATTTAGTGATACAATGTTTACCGAGCATTTACTTACGTGATGCAATGTAGATTTTGTTAAAACCAAATACTGTACACCAACAATCCTGAAATAAAATGACATCAACCCAGTAAACATGCCAACGTTGAGTCAACGTTGGAATCTGGTTGGAATTGTTGGACCAACGTTGGCCCAAATGTTTGCCATACGTTCCATATTTACTGGGAAGGTTGAAAAGCCAGAAAGTGAAGTCAAAACCAGTCCAGGGTGTGCTGCTGAAGGGAAATATTGCCCCAAAAAGTCATAGCCAATACATCTGCCATTACATTTTTTGAGCATGATAGAAGCAATTGGATATGGAAAGTCAGTTCTCCCATGCTGAAATTAGCATTTCAAAAAGCTCAATCTCTATTGGTGGACCCGAGCAGCGGTGACATTTCCAAATCCATGTCAGGAAGCAGTCTTATACATTACCCACTGCTGTGAACATCAATAATAAGATACGAAATGTCTCCTTCATGAATCTGTCTTATGACATCGTGTCTCATCAAGTTAGACTCGCTTGAATTAATGCTGGTGTATCGATCATAAATGCAAGGGCCCTCTTTACAGTATAGGGTCCTAGTATGACACGAACTTATATAACACACAACTTTAAATAATAATTAGAGATGTGAAGACGAATGACAAACCAGATAAGCAATGTTTCCTTCATATATATTCCAAGTAAACTTGCTATGCTGGGTCAACGTTGGCATGTAGTTGGAACCATCTACATAAAACTAGGAATTAAGCTAAACCAACATTTCCAAAACACATCCTGGGGTGGTGTTTGCTTCATAGCAACAGAGCTTAAAATAAGCATCTTGGAATGAGCTCCCCATATTGATGTAATTTCCCATGGCTGTACTGAAGCCTATTTGAGACATATCCATGGAGATTTGAGGGATGGCGATTATGTTTACGGAGCGCAGTGAAAGTTTTAGGGCCCGTCTTATTCTTCACCAAATTCTTGAGACATTGTGATGAAAAGCATAAAAAGTAGGAATGGGACCGCGACAATGAGACATGAAGTAACAAGTCACATCAATAATGGAGTAATGCAAGCGTGCAAAGAACCGATGCGAGGTGCATCCTTTGAGTTACACCAAAAATGGAAGTGGAACACATGGATAAGAGATGATATGCAAGTTTTAGACATCATATTGACTGATAAAAAAAGTATGCGCGTTTGGGCAGGACACATCATTTGACGAAATGGTTGAGTGATTACAGAGGTAGCCAAATGACGGAAAAAAAGGACAAACAGTTGAAATGGAGCCTGCAATCGATATATCGTGGCTGATGTACCAAAACGCATGTTTAACATGCACATATCTACACAAAATCATAGGAATGCATATTTTTTTGGAAATAGGTTTTATTAATTGGTCCACATTACCTCAACTACAAAAATCCTATGACATCAATGTAATCATAAAAAAAACAATATAAACGAAAATACAACACTTCCTGAAATGTTAGAAAATAGAAAATGTATAACATACAAGAATCCTCAAAAGGCCCACAAATTGTGGTGAAAAACAATTCCTCGAATGATCAATTCAGAAAATCATATTAGGCAGTAACACCAATCCTTGGAATATAATGCTGCTGTGCAGTCGTTATTCGGAATGTTCTATTGTGTATTGTGCACCATTATATGACAGTGCCAAGGCAATGAATCCACCTTGCAAGCATAAGCCCCTGTATAGATTTCAAGAAAAGCAATATTTAGCATTAAACCAAAAACTGTACCAAGGCAAAGAGTGTGGTTCAAATACAGTCCATCTTAAGACATCAACATTGGCAGTGCAGACAAAACAGCTTTTGCACTCATGTGCCCTGAAATATAGGACAGCTTGGCACTACTATTACACATATGTAACAGTATCGTTAATATAAAAGCAATACAAAACTTCAGATGCAACCTCAATAAACACACTTCTTAATCTTGTACATAAATATCAGGGCTTTGTCCTTGGTTATCCAACACAAGTTGAATGCATCTGTAATGGGTAAACAAATTATACGGTTTTAACCAAGCACAAGAACTTTGTTCATAGTGACATCACTGCATCGACAAATGTTATAAAAATGAGTTATGTTGCAATGACCATATCTAACAGTGTGATGCACTGCTCTGAGTTCGACAATACAATTGGGATTAAATTGGAGAAATATAAAGACAATTTATAAGGCTTTTTCCCCAATAACAAAGCATAAAACTTGTGTTGGGCAGTCTGGGAGACTGCCTATGTATGCAGCTACAAGACACATTTGGTTAAGCTTAGAGTTTCCTTTAAACTAAGCATGGCATGCATGCTTTTTTATTCAGTTTTATATTTTTTTTTTATAAAGTACCAACGATCACACCTTTTCAAGTACTTGCATGTTCAAAGACATTCCCAATTTACTTGACATTGTTACGATATTGTGTAATACTATTTTTTTCCAGGCACCTTTATATATTGAGCAATGCTAGAATTTCGATTTAAAGCTATCGTGACTGCAGGGAATCATCTTCTTTGGTTCTTTCGGTAAAGTCACGTAGAATGAGAATAAAATAATAAAATAAAAATAACACAATAAAATTCTCACGACGTTTCGGCCTCAACACAAGCGGCCTTCTTCAGGTGAAAGAACAGAACTGTCGGGACAACAGTGCTTCAATGAGTGCTGCTGAGATTCGTGGCGTCTTTTAAGCTCGGTGATAGGTGTGAACCACCTAGAAAGCATGAGAATTTAGCATTGAAATAGTGAGGGATTAGCTTGTGACAAAAAATAGCTGTGTTAAAGTCAAAGTTTACATATCAACAGAGGCATTTAGTATATGGACGCTAAAGGGCCTCCAACTACCCAACTATCATACAGTAAACCAATGTGAGAAAAAACTAAGTCTATATTACATCAATATAATTGTACTTAATATATTCTTCAATAAGCTGAGCTATTAATCACAAAGCAACTGGGTATACACTACACTATATAATGAAAACCATATAGTAAAACCAATGAAAACCAAAATATAAACTACCTCAATGTTATCAATAAACTCTATATACTCTCCAATCTCATTCTACGTGACTTTACCGAAAGAACCAAAGAAGACAATGCTAGAATATTGGCTAAAACGTAATCTGCTTTTAGAATTTAAAGTAGGATTTCACAACGCATTGTAAATACATATAGTATTATAAAGTTTTGCATCAAACTAGAACCTACAAAAGATAGGGACCATGACTATAAACATTTGGCAGTTCACCAACATGGGTTCAAGCAAGCCTGACTGCTGATGAAACACTGAACGTCAAAACCAGTTCAGTGTGCTTGTGTTGAACCAAAGCTGTTTAAATTCCTGATGTGGCTGATGTGACGAGACAAATATGGGGAGGTATATTTTCTGATAATTATTTGTTAATGTGTAAATTATGTGTTTGTTCTTTTCCTAGTGTGTTCAAACTGGAACCTGTTTGCTACAATTACCATAATTGTGTTCATGTAACCATTTAATGATAAACACATGACTCTTATATAAGGAGGGACTTGAACGTATGCCTTCTAAAGCCAGGACTGAAACTGGCAGTAGTACTGCCATTAACTTTTGGTGTTTTTACAAATGCAAAACATTCCTATCTACTTAACACAACTACACGTGGGTTACTTACGGGATTAGTCAATGTTTTCTGGAGCAGGTGGCATTCTATTTTCCCATTATTTAGTAAATGAGATGTGGTCATTTGACCAAGTGCACTTTTGCACCTCAAAAGGGGTCATTAGGTAGAACCAACTGCCGCACAGGTTCACGGTTCGAATCCAGGGGGCTGCCCTCAATACTGCTGATGTAATGGATATACATTAAAAAAACATGCCATCTGCTTCAGTGGGCACTAAATGAGCCTGTGAAGTAATTCACAAGAGTAGACCGATAATTACCCACAAATTTGTCAATTGGCATTACACATAGCTATCATCGCCCCCTACTGGCAGCTGAATGCCCCAGGTCACTCTTGCAAATTGTACTATCCTAGTGTATTGAGTTCTTTACCTGGTGTAACAAAATAAACTTGAATAATGCTTAACCAAATACACAGCCTTGTAAAGCGCAGTGTTTGTACACTCAGAGAGGAAGACCAAATGATTCAAGAGATGCAGGAAACCACAGACAAGTGGGAAGGCAGCCAAAGCTGGCGGCAATATTTGGCCAAAGCTCTGTACCCCCACACGGGACGTTTGGCGAACTCGTTTAAAGAGCGTTTATACATGTGTGAGGAAACGGGAATACCAACAAAAAATCCATGCATATGGAATAGAATCCACTATCTGAACTTCTATACCCTGGAAGGCCATGGAGATGGCAACCTCAGAGCCCAGTGGGTGTGTGATCCACCACCCCTCATCTCCACTGCTGGATTACAGGCGTGCATAGGCACGTGCAACAAGCTGGCGATGCAGGGCCATTTTACCACACCTCACCGATAGTGTAAACACAAAAAATAGGCATTTGTATTCTACAGTTGAACAATATTAGACTTAAATTCCAAACAACTGTGGGAATGTAGGCATACAGCCAAACAGCACGTATATGCCGTTTTATTTTTTAACTGTTATCAAACAAGATGCAACTACATTCAGCATACAAAATGTTTTGGGATTTACACCTTTGAAAATATGACCACAAATTCTAGGATTCCATCCATTTTCTTCATGCTGCCTCCTGGTTTTAACACGAACATTATATCAACTTGTACAAAATTAATCATGACTTTCACCTTGTTCACCAATCAAGTTTGGCAAATGCATCTCCAAGAGAACATTATCTCCAAACCACTAGTAAGGCCTATTTTAGCGATACCACTCAACAATTTCTCCATTTTATGAGGCTTACAAGCTATAGGATGTTCTAGGAGGGAAATTGTTATAAATAAATTCATCTGGTATTGAAATGTTTCTCCTTATGCTTAGCCGAGGCACAACCTTATATGTGCCAATATGGATATTCACATTTTCATTCACTATTTACGAGAAAGCAGAAATAATCTGATACAACACGGCTCGAAATTGGCAAGGTTAAAATTACATAAATCCTATGTCTTGTGCCAGAAACGTCTGCAGGGATTGTGCATGGCATTTCTTTGGAGGGGGGAGGATGTTAGTCCTACTATTAAAGCAGGTGAAGTTTTATTATTACCATTAAATACTAAACAAATTCTACGAAAAAATGCAATAAATAAAATGTATACCATGAATATTCTAAGAGCAATTAAGTAACTAAACATGTACTCATTGATAGGTTTTGTTACTGGCACTGTGCATCAGTTGAATCCTGGTAAAATAAATGAAATGTTCACATGCTCACCATTTCTACATATGGTTTTAAACAACACAAATTAAAACATCAATAGTGTTTACATTGTCACACTGGGTTAGATTCGTATCTCATTGAAGAATGTATCATTAACTAAACTCAAGAAAGTAACTATAAATATTATTTAAACTCAAACTTCTCTGTTATAACTATAAATGGTGTCAAAAGGCACAAATGCCATGCGAGTGGATTTTTCTTGTTCCGCTTAAGGTAAACTCAATAATAATTAAGACGACTAATGTTTATCTTTAGAAGATGACAATATTTGCAGGACATGGAATTTCATTAAGTCTGCCAAGCACCTTTTACTTACTCTAATGCTGTACCAATCGGCAGCATTCAGTGAAATGTACATCAACTAAACACCCAAGAGATGACACACGTTTTTTTTGGTTTCATAACAAAATTGAAACTAAACTGAAATGGGTGGATTACTCTTCGAACTAATCGTGCTTCCCTTCTCAGACCCGGTTTTGAACTCTTCCGCCGCTCTGTGGTGATGTTTCTCGTGAGCTGTGTTTGCGCGATTTTGCTCCGTCACCACCGAGTCGGAGGCCGGAGTCTCCACTCTGCTGTTCTCCTGCGCGGCCCCGACACGGGACATCAGCTCCAGCCGCTGCTGCATCACGCGCAGGTCGTCCTGCAGCCGCGATAGATCTATCCCCGGGGCTTTATCGATCTCGATGGCATTTGAAGTCTGCATCTGCGGCGGCTTGCCGTTCGCAATCCTGTTGATAAAAAAAATGACGGAAGCTTTACGATGTATGTGGCCAAGAAAAACTCATTTCAATATAAAATGTAAATCGAATAGTAGCACCTTTGTCTGACAAGTTGGTCATGGGGATTGTCTGAACGTATCTCACTATGGCGGTCAATGTGGGTTTGTGAAGAGTGTGGGGGGTTCTAGACTGATTCAGTTATCACGAGCCACTGATGTTAGCCATGGCCGAGAATCAAACGCTGCTAGGCGACTTTCAAATGCAGTGCATGCCAACAACTGTAAAATACAGCAATTCTTAGCTAAAATAAAAACACGGCTGTGTTGTAATAATTATAGTTTTAAACGCACACATACCTTTGCGGAAACTGGCCCGCGGGCTTTGGCATGCAGTTATAGTGTGGCGGTGCAGAAGGAACGTTTTCTGGACGATAGTCTTCATAGCTGCCATAAGACGGCAACACCTTGAGTTGTTCTTCCCTATGGTGATACTCCACGTTCCTAAATGTGCAAAGCAGAAGGTACTGTTCATTTATAATGACCATAAAATACATATTTATAAATCATTGCTTTACACTATTTCCTAAGGTTCTTATCTTATATAGAGGTATATAGTGCCTTAGTCCAAGGCGCTTTAGAATCATTATACAATTGCACATGAGATGATAGTGGTTAAAATAAAGAGTGGGGTTATTAAAAGTGGTGGAGTAGCTCTGCTTGCAGTAAGGAGAATAGCTAAGAGTGGTTAAGGAGGGGTAGGGTAGCGATAGGGTTTGGGGTAGGCCTGGTCATAGCTTAGGGGCCGGGGCAGGGAGTAGCAATAGCCTAGGCAAGGGAGACGAGATGGGTTTTAAGGGAAGAACGGAAGCAGGTGATAGCGAAGAAGATTATTTAATGGGCAGTGGGAGTTGGCTCGAGTGAAGGGGAGCAAGAAGGAAAAAGGAACAAAAACGTGACTGGGCGCAAGGCGAGGGAGGCACCTCCGATTAGCACGGTTGGCTACGTACAATGCGAAAGAAGTTCAACATCCAGTAGATATATAAAGAGAGGGACAATAGACATTGGGAGCGTAGAGGACAGGATGGGACGTAGTAATAGATGAGACAAGCAAAATATGGTGAGGCAAGACCATGGAGGGATTTGTAGACAAGAGTAATACATTTAAAAGCCAGGGGAGTTGGGAAAGTAGGGCAGAAGTGTGGGAATTGTGGGGAAGGTTAAACAATTATCCGGGCTGAGGCATTTTGTATGTTGTTGGAGAGTAGTGAAGGCGTTGGTAGGAAGGCTGAGAAGAAGAGAATTGCAATAGTCAGGGTGAGTGAAAACAAGGGAGTAAACCTGGAGTTTAGCAGCAGATAGGGAGATGAGGAGACTGATTTTGCGAATATTCTATTGTTCTTCTTTGGTTATTTCGGTAAAGTCACGTAGAATGAGAATAAAATAATAAATTGATAAAATAAAATAACACAATAATATTCTCACGACGTTTCGGCCACAACACAAGCGGCCTTCATCAGGTTGTGGCCGAAACGTCGTGAGAATATTATTGTGTTATTTTATTTTATCAATTTATTATTTTATTCTCATTCTACGTGACTTTACCGAAAGAACCAAACAAGATGAATCCTTGCAGTCACGAAAGCTTTAAATCGAAATATTCTATTGTTGTATGGTTAAGCTGACTCGTATGCATTATGAAAGAGGGATAAGAAATTGTGCACAGATGGCTCTCCACATTTAAGCAATAACATTAGATCAGTTACACCACTTTACCAGCACGGTCAATAACCTCCCACATTTTAAACGCTTAGAGTTGGCAAAATATATACGACTTGCGTGAAGACCAATATTTACAAAGGAATCCAAACCTACAACAAATATTTAACTCCCTTTTTCATATCAGCTCTTAATCATATAGGTATTTACATGTTTTATCATAAAACAATGACCAATCCGTACCATATTAAAAATTGTAAATTACTGCCAATAAGAACACAAATAATAAATTGTAATCACCAAGTAAAATCGCCCCCAGTATGTCTAAAATTTCTAAGTTATTCTTGCTCAAATGAGCATTTAAGCAAGTGCTCATCTGCTGTTTACAGCCCAAATCCAGTGGTGGAAATTACATGTTCATATGACAGGGGACAAGTTTATCCACATTACCGTTGACTTTCTTGCGAAGTGGCACTCATTTCATAGACCCCAGAGGGATGATGGGCTAAATCAACCCCAAGCAGGATTTTTGCGAGCCGCTCTCTCTATCGCCAAGCCACCTGGTCTGGCTTAAACTCTAAACTAGAAAAGCTCGACTCTAAATTCCAAGGCATCTTGGTAAAGCATCCAAGCACTCTGCCAATATTTTTTTAGTCTCAACATTATTTTTCACTGACATTATGAGCACCCGGTCTATGCCACGGTGGATGCCACCAACACAAAAAAGCCTCAATACCGTTGATCATGCTTCGTTTGACGGCCTCGCAGTGCGTCGCCGAGGGCACCCATCCCCAGGTGCCACATTTCCGCCACGTCGAGCACCAGGCTGAGCCCGGCCATGGCGTACATCACGTACAAGAAGATGGTCTTCTCCGTGGGCCTCGAGATGAAGCAGTCAACGCGGTGGGGGCACGGATAACGAGTGCACTCAAAGCGAGGGATCACCTCCAGGCCATACATCACGTACTGGCCAATGAGGAAGCCTACCTCGGCCATTGTGCGTAAAATAAGCTGCAAGACGTAAGCCTTCATGAGGCCATCAACCCTGATCATGCGACGCCCATCGTGCCGTTTATTATCCTTTTTCTTGTCTTCGTCCTCACTGCTGGTCTTGTGATCAAACTCCTCTTCTTCATGCAAAATCGGATCCTCCTCTTGGTCATTTTCAGCTTCCTCAGCCTCACGGTCTGGCCCACGATGCATCAGTGGAGTCCGTCTCAGTTTTTTGTAGGCAGGCGAGTCTTCTGACCTACAGAGACAACGTATAAAGAAAAGTTTAAAACATACGCTTACATGTGTTTTTTTTACAAGTGTATAATTCAGGTTTTTGTCTTCATTATCATTATTGTTGTTGTAACTTTACCATACCTTCGTATCCTGTGTATGGCGAAGCCAAGGTAGAGAATGCTCGGTGTTGCCACGACAATAATTTGAAAGATCCAGAAACGCACGTGGGAGAGAGGAGCGAAGGAATCATAGCAGACATTTTCGCATCCCGGTTGTTGCGTGTTGCACACAAACTTGCTCTGTTCATCGTAGTAGATTGACTCGCCACCGACGGCTGTCAGCACGATGCGGAAAATTAAGAACGTGGTGAACCAGAGTTTTCCCAGGTACGTCGAGTGCTGATGTATTTCCTCCAACAAACGAGTTAAAAAACTCCAGCTCATTTTAACACCAGCTCACAAGCGTGTACCTGTGAATTCCAAAGAGAAACATGGATTAGCCACATTGGCAGCCTATGTTTCAACTCATTTTGCATATTGGGGACATTTTTTGCTGTTCTGCAGCTGCGAAATAAATCACAGAAAAAATACCATTAAATAATCTCAGAAAAAATACCATTGAGCTTCATCTCCAGAAACATTGTTGTGTTAAGGTGACGTCGCTTTTGTTTAAATATTAGATGTTAAAACATATACAGTAGAACCTTGGAGATGGAACGCACCAGAACTCGAACAAATAGGTTTGAACGATAATTACAAACAATTTTTTGCCCCGGAAACCGAACGAAATTCGGAGGTCGAACGGGCAATCGCGACTTGAAAGAACCTGTACGGCTCAGACGCGTGTTGGGCAGCAGCGTGCATAACGCTTGCCCAGACAAAGGTTTTACCACCTCCTCCTCATCACCACCTTCCACTCAAGCCATCAACTCTCCTTACTACAGGTAAAGTGAAGTTCAATGTTAATTTATTTCATTTATTCCATATTATTCATTTATTCCATTAATTTATTGTTTCTTGGTTTTTTCTGTATGATTTTATGCATGTAATTACTGTAAACTTCGTGTAAAAATGCTTTATAACGAGAGATTTCTTGTGTCTGGAACAAATTTATGTCATTTACATTAATTCTTATGGGGAAAATTAAGTCGGTGTTCGAACAAATCGGTGTTCGAATGGCCTTCTGGAACGAATTAAGTTCGATCTCCGGGGTACCACTGTACGTGTCTTTATTTCAAAAGCACTTCATAGCCGCATATTGGAGGGCATTCTGTAAAGCCACACAGGATGGATCAGTGGCAACCCTTTTGGTACTTGAAAAAATCAGTAACGATGGCAACTGCCCTAAGTCGTGACCTAAGGGACAAAAGAGCCTGGCAAAGGCTTTAATGTGCATGCAGATGGAACCAATGGATGAACAAAGAACTCAAATTCTTCATTTTGAGATAGCAACTGCAAAAGTTTTGCTGTGAAAAGCATGTCTGAGATTGTGACTATGGAGCATAGAGGATCTTTTAATCGAAGGTCTGTTAAGTGTATTTCATTTATAAATCGTGTGCCATGAACAGAGGCGGCGTTATACTATAATGCCAAATGTGGAGTACAGAGTACCCACAGTCCCATAGGTATTGTTACACTCGGCTCAGTGTTCGAAAGGCCAAACCAGCCATTTAATCCTGACATTCACCGACACTTCCAGCATGCCCTTATTCTCGTTATAAATAATGTTCTACAACCTTCCCCTTTTACAGAAAGTTTAAACGGAGGACATTATTGTTCAAAAGATAGCATAATCACATTTTAGTATATAGATTAATAACTGTTGTTTATACAATACATTGGGGATGCGTCCCTGAAAGGTGCGACGACGAATATGAAAACGGGGTAAATCAATGCGCTTTACGTGGTAGATGGAGGTGAAGGTTGCGGTGACGGATACGAGAGAGGGTGGATGATGACGCTGTCGGCGACATTAAGTGCACGCAGACAACCGAATAGCGCGACTGGCTACGTACGGTGCGAAAGAAGTTTAACATACTGTACATACAATACAGTGACTATGTATTAGCAAGACGACGTATCACTTATTTAACCAACAGAGCCACCCTGGCTTTAAAAAAAAACAATAAGGATCCTACATTGGGTTTTTATTTAAAAATGATATTTTTTTCTTCAGACAAATTAATGAGTGCTTATACACCCAGAGGAAATCCACGCGCGCAAGTGGGACACTCTATCCCCGTAGAGATGGAAACACGTGGCGAATACTCTTTGGTTCTATTCGGTAAAGCCGTGACTTTACCGAATAGAACCAAAGAGTATGGATCCTTGCAGTCACGAAAGCTTCAAATCTAGAACGTGGCGAATATTCCACTTCCTGTACTGCCTTATCCTGGCGTGCCAGGGTATAATGCCACCTAGACGCCCACGGGAAGGAGTTTTCACAACGTATGTGCGACTCACTTTCCCTGCACCTCCAGTGGTGGAGGATTACAAGCATGTGCCAGCATGCTTGAAAAATAAAAGCTGTACTTAAGAGTCTGCTATTGTTATTGTTTCACCTGCTTGTTCTGCTATTGTTTGACCTGCTTGTTCGACTGCTCGAGTTTCACCTGCTTGTTTGTCAAAACCGGACTTTGTGTGTGGCACGTGGCAAATGTGAACTAAAGAGGTTAGAAAAGTGCTAAGCAATCATGAAGACTCATTTGAACAACGCGGCATGTGGGGCCATATCCAGCATGCAGGTGTGAAGAGAGAGTTGGCGTACTTGGCGAGTAACAGGCGGCAGAGATAAAAGTTTATTTTGAGTCAAGTTGTCCCTAAAAGCTAGACTGTAAATAGAACAAGACCTTGCATAACAGCCCGTACCAGCACACGCAGAACATCACACTCAAGATTTATTGGCAAACAGATGGCAAACACAACTGCTTGGAATAATCATCTCCATATATGCTGAAACGCGTGGTTCTCTTGCAGATTAAAGCTTGTTGACTTCAAGGCAGATGCAATCATCATCAGCTATTTCCAATCCACTGCTGGATGAATGCCTCCCAAGCTACTGCCACCTATCCCTGTGTAGCGATTCTTGCTCAAATGATTCTTGCTCAAATATGTAAAATATTTTTTGTTACACGTCCCAGCACGATTAATGCGTACAACCGTTTCATTTCATATTCGTGGTTCTTTCGGTAAAGTCACGTAGAAGGGAAACACAAGCAATCATCATCCTGATGATGATCAGGATGATTGCAGTCGAAACGTCGTGAGAATTGTATTGTTTTATATTTTTATTATTTTATTGTTTCCCTTCTACGTGGTGACTTTACCGAAAGAACCACGAATATGAATCCCTGCAGTCGCGAAAGCTTTAAATCGTTTCATTTCAGTTGTGCATAAATAGTGCAAAGGCCGAATAAGCATTCCACGTATTGCTCGCCCGATTCACCAATGCGTGCAGTTCGACAGCGTGCCATGGGGATGGGCAATTCAGGTTGTGACTTGTCCTCGAAGTCATCGCCTCCAGAAATACCCAACAACAACTCAACACAATTCGTCACGCACACTGCTCAAAAGTGGTGGGGGGCCCGCAGTGGTTGTGTCAACGCACTCGGCTGGGATGACCTTCGTTCGATTCCCGACCACGGCTAACATCAGTGGCGATCGATATCTGGAACATGCTTTAGGTGGATCGGCAACACGTTGGGAACCCCGCACGGACCAGCAGCGTGGTGAAGTATGGTCAAATTAGCCACAAAAACCATCCGGCAGTGGCTCGAACACGACTACTGACAACACCGTACTATACAGTACTTACTCTACACAGCAACACAGTTTGACAGTACTGTACAATGCAAAATTGTATTTATTTTCAACTAACTGAAATCGTGGTTGTAGTTGAGCTGAAGCAAGGTTTAAACGTGAACTATAGTGGAATGTCTGCGTAGTTAGTTAGTAGCAGTGTAGGAGACCACTGCTTTTAAATATAAATCAAAGACGCACGCGAAGTTTTAAGTTTTAACAAGAGGGTCGCAGTCTCAGCCCGGGCCGTGAACGTGGCGCCCTCAACATTCTCGTTCAACAAATCCTCGGACAAAGCAGGGAGAGAGAGAGAGAGCGTGAGAGTTATTTAACCCGTCAAAACAAGACGCGAGTTATTTAATCCGTCAAGACAAGAATATATATATTTTTTATCATTATTAAAGACAATCACCCCCCCCCCTCTAACCCCTCGACGGTGATAGAGATTTGCGGCGGGCAATGTGGCGCCAAACCAGAGTCCAGCCACCCAGCCAGACTTTAAACACAAGCAGAAGAACCCCCCCAAGGCTACGTTAAGAAGAAGACAAATGCACGACAAAACCTTACGTACGAAAACGGCGGCGGTGATAAGACGACGACAATAACTCCCATCACACGGATAAGATAATAGAGAGAGAGACGGCCGCGACTCGACCCAGAAACATTACACCACGGGCGACGATGCCTCCCCCCCCCTCCCATTGTTAGGGCAATAACAGCAACAACTTAGTTGGCCGATTCAGGTAACTTACCGAGCGCAGGGAGACGAGGAGACGATCTCACTCACGGCAGCCGACGAGGGCCTCTCGGAGCCGCGGCGCGCGGGGCCCCGAGGCTGGATCGGAATGTCGCCTCCTCAACTTCACCCCCGCCTCTGCCTCTCGCCGCTTTGTCTCTCGCCGCTTTCTCTCGCACTTAACGACCACCACCCCCCTCCCTTTCCTTGCCTTACGCCTTTATTCGTTTATACTTTCTCCTCCTCCTCGTCCTCCTCCTCCTCTGTCGTCGCGTTAGCGGGTTTCGCTGGCTCCGAGCGGAGAGCGACGCTGCCGGCTGTCGTCTGCTGGCGTGGCGGCCGGCATGCCGGGCGGGGTAGCCGCCTCTTGGCGCGACGATCTTCGCCCACGATGGAGGGGGTCGCTGCTGCTACTGCTGCTGCCGCTGCCACTGCTGCTGCTACCACGGCGGCGGCTGGCGCCCTCCTCCCCCGGCTCCTCCTTCCCCGGCTCCCCGAGGCGAGTTGGGGCGGGGAGGTGTGGCTGGGATGGGCAGCGATTGCCGGGGTGAGAGAGTTGGTGGACGGGATGGAGGAGGCTCGTGAAGGACGCTGCCGCTGCTGCTGGGAAATTGGAGGCAGTCGCCCTCCAGCAGCAACAACAACAACAACAACGGAGGGCAAGAGGAGCGACGCTCACAACAACGTGCGCACGCCCGGGCGTGTAAAACGCAGCGAGTTGGCACAATAGGTGGCACAGCTGGTGGTACATCTACAGCTCACGTCTCAAGTCAGCCAAGTCGTGGCGGCACCTCCTGGGTCTGTCCCGAGACCTGTCGGCGAGCCTTCGACACTTCACGTGGCCTCGAGGTGCACCTAGCCTGGCACAAGCGCCGTGGCGACTGGCGGGTTTTGGTGGATGGGACGATCCACAGTGGTGGATTACAATAACCAATGGGTGGTAATAATAAAAGCATGCCCCTGCAGACAATAAGCCTTTGTGCTTCGTTTTGTCTCTTCCCGCAGCCCCGATTAGCACGGTTGGATACGTACGGTGCGAAAGAAGTTCTACATACGTACAACACAGATTCCCATTTAAAAAAATATACATATACAAGTATGATTTAAACATCCCATCGGCCACGCAGCCTTTCTGGTCGTGAGTGCTTGGTTTCAGCAGCACTGGTTCAACAAAACGAAGAACTCTGAACCGATTTTGAAATGGTGGCTGGCATATGATGGGCCTCTGTGATTTGGGAGTGAAATGGTGGTTCGCGCTGGTGGCTGGCGGTATGAGTTGGAATGGCCATGGGGTATGATGGTGAGGCTGTTCTCTTGAGTTTTGACGGTGGGATTGTTTTGGTACATGATGGGCTATTTGATATTATCGGCTGTGATGGATTCGAGCCGATAGGATATGTCGTGCTCGGACGATGGGGGATTATCTAAACTGCGATGTGGGGTGGGGGTGGGGTGGGCAGCTGTCCTTCTGGACCGGAATAAAGATGAGTGGCTGGGATGGTGGCGTGTGTAGGGTCGATAGGATGTGACGAGCAGGGAGAGAGGGCCCATCCCCACCACCCCCGCCCAGTCCCGCATTCCCGTGTTTTTTGTGTGTGTGTGGCAATGACGTCGGCTCTAGACTTCTCCACCAATCCAGCTTTGAGTTCATTTGGAGAGGTTTTTTTCTTCTCAAAAGTTTCCGTTTTCCGTGTGCACGCTTGTTCGTGTACTACGGGTGCATTATCACCATTAAGTCAGAATCCACTGCTGGATGAGGACTCAACCCCCCCCCCCCCCCACGTCATCTTATGATCCTGTTTAACACGTAGGCTTTCGCGACCAATATCCATACTATACTTTTTTGGGTTAGGTCGCGTAAATATAAATGTGTCGTTAAACCCGCCACCACTTATGATCCTGTGATTGCACGATTTCATCTGTGGCATCTGAACACGATTATTTTATTTGCTCCGGTCTCCGAAGAGGCTGCCAACTCCGCCCTTAGTCCCGACTATACTTGTCAATCTCTTCTCGCGACGTGTCCTTAATGTGACTTCTCAAACTTGGGTGTATTCTCTCATCCACGTCGTGCTGCCTGATCCTCTTTCCGTCTCACGGTTTTGTTCGAAACGTGAAACTATCTGTCCATTCGCAATTTTTTTTATTTTTCATTGCCCATGTTTCTGACTTATTCGACCTAGGTTTAGACACAGGACCCGTTCAGATATCACTTGCCACCGACAGCCGGGACTTTGATCGCAAGGGTTGTCACACACCACACTCCGCTTCTGCTCCGAAGATTATAAGGTGCGGATAATTACGGTAGGCGCCCCTCCATTGACTTAAAACCGTTCGCGGACTTCGTCCACCTTGGCCGGTTAGCGCGGGCCTCAGCAATGTGGAACTTTGTGCTGACCCTCCCGAATGAGTAGAACCAATCAAGCTCAAAGCCATCATTTTTTTCCAGACAACCCCTGCTGACTGTGGTATATGAAGGTGGGAGCGGTGGTTGACTGGTTGCCAGTGAAAGATTCGTTTCTGCCACAGGAATGTGGAAATTTCACGAAAGCCCTAGGATTTCCACCGCGGATTTTGGGTCAGATTTCAGAAACTAAGCAGGTTTGAGCCTGGATAGGGGTTGGATAGATGATCACCGCACGCAAACAATTGTCACAGGTCTTCGGGGCTATGCAGTGCAGGATAATTACGTCTTGTACTGTACTATGCTCCCACACCCATGCTCTGCATTCATACACCAGAAACTGACCAGCATGGTAAAGTCTGGTAGAAATAACCCCCACTACTCGCATAGGCGTGGGGAAGCCTTCATCCAGCCGTGGATCAACAAAAGTTGAATCACAGGTTTAATGTGTCAACGTATTTGATAACGTCACCTTTCAACGTCACAATCTCACAAATAAATATCAGCACCATCTAAAAATGAAACTGCTTATTCTTTGAATCTTTCGGTAAAGTCACGTAGATAGGTTCAAAGAAAATAACAAAAATAACAAAAAACTACGACGTTTCGATCGCAATACAAGCGGTCGTCATCAGAAAAAGGGGGTTAGTCTCTAAAGGCAAACTGTTTATAAAGGTTTTCAGCAGCATGGGCAGGGCAGCTAATGTTAATGTAAGTGATAGTCCACGGCGGCGCTCGTGGTGGGTTTCCACCAATTAAAGGGCTGCCAGGTAAAAATTAGCATGTCAATGTAAGATCGGTGAGCGGCCTCCATGGCGAGTGCGCTGAGGTGGCTATGTTAATGTGAGAGATTAGCATGTTAATGTGAGAGATTAGCGTGTTAATGTGAGAGATTAGCATGTTAATGTCAGAGATTAGCATGTTAATGTGAGAGATTAGCATGTTAATGTGAGAGATTGGCATGTTAATGTGAGAGATTAGCGTGTTAATGTGAGAGATTAGCGTGTTCAAGTAAGATATTGGAATGTTAATGTAAGAGATTAGCATGTTAATGTGAGAGATTAGCATGTTAATGTGAGAGATTAGCGTGTTAATGTGAGAGAGCATGTTAATGTGAGAGATTAGCATGTTAATGTGAGAGATTGGCATGTTAATGTGAGAGATTAGCGTGTTAATTTGAGAGATTAGCGTGTTCAAGTAAGATATTGGAATGTTAATGTAAGAGATTAGCATGTTAATGTGAGAGATTAGCGTGTTAATGTGAGAGGTTAGCGTGTTAATGTGAGAGATTAGCGTGTTAATGTGAGAGATTAGCATGTTAATGTGAGAGATTAGCATGTTAATGTGAGAGATTAGCATGTTAATGTGAGAGATTAGCATGTTAATGTGAGAGATTAGCGTGTTCAAGTAAGATATTGGAATGTTAATGTAAGAGATTAGCATGTTAATGTGAGAGATTAGCATGTTAATGTGAGAGGTTGGCATGTTAATGCGAGAGATTAGCGTGTTCAAGTAAGAGATTGGAATGTTAATGTAAGAGATTAGCATGTTAATGTGAGAGATTATCATGTTAAAGTGATATATTAGCATGTTAGTGTGAGATCGGAGAGCGGCCTCCACGGCGAGTGCGCTGAGGTGGCTATGTTAATGTGAGAGATGATCATGTTAATGTGAGATATTATCATGTTAATGTGAGATATTATCATGTTAATGTGAGATATTATGTTATTGTGAGTGATTATCATGTTAATGTGAGAGATTAGCATGTTAATGTGGGAGATTAGCATGTTAATGTGAGTGATTATCATGTTAATGTGAATGATTAGCATGTTTATGTGGGGGATTATTATGCTAATGTGAGAGATTAGCATGTTAATGTGAGAGATTAGCATGCTAGTGTAAGAGATTAGCATGTAAATGTGAGAGATTAGCATGTTAATGTGAGAGATTAACATGTGAATATGAGAGATTAGTATGTTAATGTGAGAGATTAACGTGTTAATGAAAGAGATTAGCACGTTAATGTGATAGATTAGCATGTTAGTGTGAGAGATTAGCATGTGAATATGAGAGATTAGCATGCTAGTGTAAGATACTATCACGCTAATGTGAGAGATTAGCATGTGGATGTGAGAGATTAGCATGTGAATGTAAAAGATTAGCATGTGAATGTAAGATCGCAGAGCCGCCGCCATGTTGTTGTAACAGCTCTCTCGCTAGTTCAGCAGTTCCACTTGCTAGTTTATATTTTTCCGCCTGAGGACAACCGCTTGTGTTACGATTGAAACCTCGTGATTTATTTTGTTTTATACCTACGTGACTTTACCGAAAGAACCAAAGAGTATTGATTCCTGCAGTCACGAAAGCTTCAAATCAAGGTTGTACGTTGTTGCTGTTAATTAAAAAGGCGTACAATGGCTGTCGCCCAAGCAGCTTGAAGTGAACGTCAATTGCTTTGCGCGAACAACGCTGTCTGCCGTGGTGTTGTGGCAGAGGTTGCATTCTTGATTCGAATATAAAGAATCGTTTTGTTTATGTCTGTAAAATATGATTTCCATTATTGACATTAATATAATTTGATATTAAAACATACAACTCCTTTTCAGTACCCTCCCTTATTACAGAGCAATTAAGACCTTATTGGTCACCCTGTGTCCCTTATAAATCTCAACGTTCATCCTACAAAGTCCCATCACAAGGGAGTAACACAAATAAAGAGACAAAACTTGTTTTGCCCGTATTGAAACGGCTGTACGCCGTATGGACCTCATAACTCAATGAATTTTCCTGTACAAGAATACGGGTAACCGTATGGGTTGACAGGTATGTTATCTGTGACTAGGACATTTAGGAGGCACTACATATGTTTTGAGAAGATGTTTGATGTTAAATATTATGTTTCTTGTTAATGGTTTGTAAAATATCCATATTCCATGTTAAATGTTTTTAAACATAAGCGGGTGTCATAATCAGGGTTGTGTCTGGTCATCATGACTTTGAAATAATAAAGTGTTGCCATTTCACAAATCTCTGGTGCCCATCTGTTGTGGAGTCCCCCAATTCTCAGGAGGCCAGAACAACGCAGAGTATTTACTCATTGTCTCCGAACTTTGTTCTTTTTGTCTATTTAGACGGGCTGT